AGAATTGTTGTCAGCTCTTGAATATTTAGTAGAATTCAAAAGGCTGTAATCTGCACAGAAGCAGACTGCTCTGGTAGCATAATGTCTAAGGCATTTGACTGCTAACCAGAAGGCTGGCAGTTCAAACCCACCAGCCACTCCTTGGAAGGAAGACTGGGCAATCTACTTCTGTAGAGATACTTCCTTGTAAACCCAAGGAGGGGTCGTTGTGAGTCGGGACTGACTCAATGGCAGTGAGTTTGGTTTGGTTTTTGGTTTTGCTACAAGCACAGCACTGGCCTAGGATCTAAGGGTAAATGGGTGAGGGAGAAGTGTTCTACACTAAAGGTCTTTCACAATTTCAATGTGTGAGGAAAAACCAGTTGCCGTGGAGTTGATTCTAACTCAGGATGACCCCATGTATGTCAGAAGAAAAGTGAGATATGTGGTTTTCAGTGGGTAACTTTCCAGAAGTAGATTGCCAGGCCTTTCTTCCAAGGCCTGGGTGGACTCGAACCTCACACTTTTCAGTTAGCAGCCAAGCACTTTCACCGTTTGTGCCACCCAGGGGCTGCCTCGCTCTGTGAGGTACAGCATTTATCCCTCCATAGCACCTTCTCTCACATACTGACTTAACTCATCTAAACAGTGTCTCAGACTCACAGAGTACCTCAAATCAAAGGCCTTCTTAGAATGCAATTATAGTTTCAAATAGTTACCCAGCTCCCCAACTACTACAACACACACATGTTTTCAGTTTTATTATTTTACATATTGTATTGATTTTTTTTTTTCCCCACTTACCAACATTCACACCTTTGGTAATTAACATCTCAGGCTTCCTTCCAATACACGTAGGTTCACTCTGTTCATTTTTAATAGAATGGTCTACTTTAGAATGTACTAAAATTTTGTTATTTCACTATTGATAAACATTTAAATTGTTTATAATTTTCTGCTCCCACAAACATTGCTACACTGAACACAGACTTGTGAACAAAAACAGCAGGAACGTTTGCTCTGTCACTTATTAAAATGTATTATAAAGCTACAATCATCAAAATGGTGGGGCATCTAGGGGGAAATTGAAAGACTAGAAATTGACTAAGCGTGTACAAAGACTCTCTATCTCATGAAGTGGGATTTCAAATACACGGACAAAGAATGAATGATTCAACCAAAATGCAAGGACAACTGGCTACTTGTTTGGGAAAAGCATAAAGCCAGATCTCCTTTTCACATCTTTCACCAGAACAAATTCCAAAATGGTAACCACTTTAAATTACAAGCTTGGAACACAAAAAAAGAACGAGATATAATGTAAATTAGTACAGCTCTGATGGCGGCAGGTCTTTGTAAATTTGACACTAAAAGTGGAGCCATCCACTGATTTTCTAAAACTAATGTAAACCCTCCATATACAAAATTAGAAGACACACCACAAACTGGGAAAAAAAAAATTTGCACCATACCTTAAAGGGCAAATATAAATAGTTTAAAAAACGGAATCAGAAAAAAGGTGAACACTCAACAGAACAAAGGCCTTATTAGGCTTAGCCCAATAATAACAAAAATACCAATGCCCAAGAAACATGAGCATATGTGCAAACCTGAGAGTTATCAAATAATGCAAATTAAAATCACTTAATGCCATTTTTCACTTATCAGACAGGCAAAGATACAAAAGAACAATAAAAAAACCACTGCCAGCTGCCAGCGAGTAGATTATGACTCAAAGAAGCCCTAGAGGAGAGAGTGGAACTGCCCCCAAAGGCTTTCCAAGGTTATAAATCTTTACAGAACAGATTGCCTCATCTTTTTCCCGTGGAGTGGCTGGTGGGTTTGAATCGCCAGTCTTCTGGTTTACAGCCAAATGCTTTAACCACTGCACCACTAGAGCTCCTTAAAAAGAACGATGGTCCCCAGTATGGCCCAGCACAGACCAACCACCTCTCCTGGGAGTAGGAGCGTCAGTTGGACAATATTTTTGGAGAGAGGACAGCTGGCCAATCTGGGCTCAAAGCTCTAAAATACACACGCCCTTTGACCATTTTCCCTTTGAACTTGGGTGCACAGTGTCTCCCAGCTTTGCTTGACGTGGGTCCTGGGCCTTTCCTCCTCACCACTGTTTCCCCAGAGTGCACCAGCCTTGGGGTATGAAGGAGCCCACTTTAGCCACTAACCATACTTCACAGACAGTGACTTCTCTCTACATGATGCAGGACTCCAGTCCCCTGAGAGACCCCACCTGCATCGTGCCCATTTCTGGGAGTGACAATTGAGGTTGGTGCTTTCTCACCCTATCTGGGGCTGCCAGCCTCTGACTGAGCATTCCCAGACCCCATGGCTCTCTTCCCAGACTAAGACCACAAGGCTCCGACCCAGGGCCTCCTGCCTCATGCAGCCAGGGCAGAATCTGGTTGCCTGCATTAGTGCCTGCAGGGGACAGGTGGCTGACCGAAGTCCTCACATAGCCAGACGGGTCCCAATCTCAGAATAGGCTCAGCTTGGACCCCAGTCTCACTCTAAAAAAATTCAGTCAAATAAAGAGGGGATAAAACAGCAAAACCAAGGAAACTTAGTTTAAAAAAAAGAAAAAGAAAACACCTAGAGGAAGACAGAACGAGTATGTGTGGAAAGCACTAGTAATCTGCTACTGGTTGTTAGCGAGCGGATTCCAACTCGTGGTGACCCTACGTGTGCAGAATACAACTGCTCCACAGGGTTTTCAGGCTGGAACCTTTCCAAAGCGGAGGGTCAGGCCCGTCTTCTGAGACTCCCCTGGGTGAGTTCAAACCCCCAACCTTCTGGCTAGTAGTAGAGCACTCAACCATTTGTGCCACACAGGAATTCCCCTCCAATAATCTAGGCTCTAAGAACAAGCAAATCTGAGAGAAAAATGTATATGTAAGAGAGACAGAGACAGAGACAGAGACAGAGACACAGAGGAGAAGCCACTTGCTGAAAGACAAGGGTGGGGCTCATTTTCCAACTGTCCATCTGTTTCAACATGGAAGCTCCTCGCTGGCTTTGCAGAAGGGATGACGGGCAAACAGGGAAAGACGCCAGGTGGAAGGGTGGGCCAGCTCTCTCCCCCCACGCCCTCTGTGGGCTCAGGGGTCTCAGCACACCTCCCTGGGCCTGCCCGCCTCCCAAGGGGGCAGAGACAGGTAATCCTGCTGCTTCATGGCTTTGAAGAGCTGAACAGCTGGCACCTGGGGCATGACCGGGCCTGGGGGCTTCTTGGCCTGGAACGCCTGGCCCAGGCCCCCCTTCTCAGGACAGGGCCCTGGTGAAGAGGGCTTATTCCGAGGCAGGAGTGGGCCAGGACCAACGTCAGGGAGGAAGCAATAATCACCCACTTGCTGCAGGACAAGGAGCCCGTTGGGATGGGAGAACCCAGGGGCCTCATGTGCCCGGGGCTCCCCTGGGTTCAGGACTGGGTTGCTGGGTGCAGGAGAGGTGGGACTGCTGAGATGGGACTTGGGGGGCTGGCCCGTGGTTGCAGGGAGCTCCACATAGCCCTCAAACCCTGGCTGCAGTGGGGCTGGAGCTCCAGGGGCCCCCCTGGCCAGTCCTGGACAGGGGCAGGGGTTCTGGTGGGAGGAGAGGCCCAGAGAGGGAGCCAAGGAGACGGATGGGGTCCCTGTGGACGGGATGAGTGCTAGGTCTGCAGTGGTGACATAGTCAGAGGCCACGACACTGTCCTCAGGGCCCTTAGCACCAGTGGGCAGAGCTGCTGGGCTGTCCTTTGGGTCCCATGCACCCGCCACGGGCCCTGGTAAAGGAGGGACAGGGCCTTCTCTTGACTCCAGGGAAGAGCTCCCCTCAGTCCCTGGGCTAGGCCCCGACTCCAGGTCCATGGCCTGGCTTTGCTTCATGGCCTGGGCCAATGGGACAAGTTGCACCTGTCCCCCAGCGGGCAGACACAGGTACTCGAGGGACCCTGGCAGTGGTGGATTCCCACTCCTGTCTGTGTGTGGGGACTCCAGCTGGCCCCAGATGTCAGGCAGGGAGCGGCTGAGGGGTGACCCAATATAGGGACCGTTGAAGTCGAAGCTGGAAGCTTGGCTCTCAGGACTGCCTAAGGGGGAAGACTGGCCTGGTTGGGGGCTCAAGGGCTGTCCCATGGGCTCTGAGGCGGCTGGAGTCATGTCAGGCCCAGAAGGTGAGTCACAGGTGTCTTTGGGGTTCATTGTGGTGAGGGGTGACACCTCGCTGTCCCCACAGTGAACAGGGCATATCCTGTCAGGAGAACAGAGGCACAGATGCTGGGACCACCCTGGGCAAGTGCCGCAGGCAAAGGGGGTTATGACTCTGGATAGTCAGACTCCACTCAGAGCTCACAGTGAGCACCAGGAAGGGCCAGGAGGAGGGGCTGGGGCCAGGGAAGGAGGCTCTTGATTGAGCCTTCCCCATGGATGTCCCGCTGTGACTGTGTGTGTCTGGCTCTTCTCTGCTCCACGACACCCCCCTCACCTTCCAGCTCAGGTTGGCGCACCCTGTGCACCACTCTGTCACTCCTCCTTCCTTCACTCTCTCAACCATGCAATCAACTTTCCTGAGTGTGGACAGTGGACAGCTGGCTGCACAGGCCTTGAGGGCCTAGAGGTTTGCAGTCTCTCACCCACCCCATGGGTTCTAGAAGCACTTGCTGTAGGGTCTGGCCATGCAGCAGGGTGGGAAGACAGCATCTGCTTCAATATCCTACCACTTGGTCAAGTCTGTTTTCCGATCTTTTGCTAACATGGGTCTCAGGAAGTTCTTCCTGATGTCTCACTGGAGTATGTTCTGCTTTAGAGCAAACCAGCTTCCTCGTGATCACTTCAGTGTAAGCCAAGGCAGATGTCATCTCATCTGAGCCCCTGATGTGTACAACAGAGTCACCCCCCACAGCTCCCCAGAGGACAGGAGCCCAGACACTCACCCCTCTAGCTCAGAGACATGGCTGTTCCATGGCCCCTTGTCTAAGGGACTCCCGCTGGCGAATGTTAATGTGCTTTCTGGGACCCGGAGCCCCGCACTCCCATCCTGGGAAGAGAAAAGATATGTTGACCTATGCATGTGATGGGCCCTCAGGAAGGTGGGACAGGCAGAGGGAGGACAGGAGGTCACCAGGAGACATCAGTGAGCTTCTTGGACAGGGGAGGGTCTCTGCCTCCTTGGGACCAGACTGGCCTTTCAGAAACAGGGAAAGTGCAGCCCTGGCTTCCCCAGGTCCACAGAACACCAGAGGGTGGGATCCCGTTCCCTTGTGCCCTCATAGCTGGGGTCCCTGCCCCCACACTCACCCTTCCTGACCCTCCTCACACTGGCCATGAGACTCTTCCGCACACATGGTGGCCTCACCTGTGCTGACTAGAGGGCTCTGTGACCATGCACTGGCTTCACCCACCTGGGCATCTTGGCCCTTGTGGCCCAGGTCAGCCACATCTCCCATCCCCAGGGCCTCCATGAATGTCCTGTGTCCATCACGAGGTCATAACTTGTGTCAGGCCGTCCACCTGCACTGACCCTGCCACCTTTTCCACTGGCACCACTGACCCCTCAGAACCCGGCTCAGATGTCTGGTCCCTGGTGACACCCTGCCACCTCCCACCACCTCCATTGCCCCTGTTGTTGTTGTTCTTATGTGCCGTTGAGTCAGACCCAACTCTTAGAGACCCCTCCTTGGGTTTCCAAGGAGGTATCACTACAGAAGTAGATTTCCCAACCTTCCTTCCGAGAGAGGCTGGTGAGTTTGAACCACCAGTCTTCTGGTTAGCAGTCAAGTGCCTTAGGCACTATGCTACCAGAGCTCCCCTCATCACCCCTAGAAGGAGGAAACTCTCCTTGGAGCCCACCCCAGCCTGTGCATCCCTGCCCCAGCTCCCGGAGTCCTGCTGCACAGAGAGCCCCAGGCAGCCTGTCATTGTCACTACCTGGGAGGGTCAGGACCTTGGAGCCCCTGCCTGCACCCCCACCACCCAAAGCCCACAAGAAGGAGGAGGTGGGGACAGAGACATGGGAGGGAGGAGCAGAGGAGGCCCCGCCTGCACCCCTGCACCCTCCCCACCAGACCCTACCTGGAACAGGTGGCTCTTGCTGGGGTTGGGGATTTTCTCCTTCCACTTCTGGTTCAGCCTGGAAGGACACCAGGGAGGTGACAGCTGCCAGAGACCTCAGGGTCAAGGAGGGCCAAGGAGGGACTGGGATGTGTCCAAGGCCTCACAGGGGGTTGGTGGCAGAGCAGGCAGTGGAGGGCCCTGGCCTCGTGGTTCCCTAAGTCCTGGGTTCCCCACCTCACCCGCCCACTCCATGGCATCCCCCTACCTGTATCCGTAGATGACACAGAAGCGGACGGCAGGGAGCAAGGCGAGGGTGACAAGGACCAGGATGAGCGCCAGGACCCACACAGGCAGCACTTCCGGGCACAGGGAAGAAAGGGGCCTTAGTGTCCAGGTGGGAAATGCTGGGGGCTCAGGAGGGATGGGGTGGGTGTGCCCCCAGACCCTGCTCCATGCAGGCATGGGGCTGCAAAAGCTCACTGTCACAGGGGCCCCGGGGGCAGGGAGACACATGCCAAGAAGAGGACCTCGGTCTGGACCCCTACAGTGCTCTAAGTGCTGGGAGGACGGGAGAGTTAGAGCCTTTCCAGGAGGAAGTGGTGTAGTGGGAGGGCAATGGCTGCAACCAGGCAATCATGGGAGACTTCCTGAAGGAGGCAGCATGCATGTGGCCTCTAGGAGCAGGGAGGATTTAGAGAGGGAAAAATGGGGGAGGTGGCCTGGCAGAGGAGCCAGCATGTACAGATGCCTATCAGATACCACCTGAGGCTTCCTGCTGCACAGGCCCCAAGCCCCACACAGGCTGGACCACCTCCAGGACTCCCCCCTCTTCACTCCCTTGGGCCAGGTGTCCAGCTCTCTTTTTTGCCTGAGGGTGGGCCCCTCTGGGTGGAATGAGGCCTGAAGCCTCAAAACTTCCCTGTCCTGTCTGGCTGGGCTGTCGCAGGACGGCAGGTGGCACTTACCCCGCTGGGTGTCCCAGATGCACACCTCACTCCACTCACTCCAGATCCCCTTGTAGCCACTGGAGTTGGGCTTGACTCTCACCCTGGCCCAGTACCTGGTGGAGGGCTCTAGCAATGGCAGGGACATGCTGTAGGCATTCTGTAGGGTCTGTGTCTTGCTCTCCTGTGGGTGGGGGTGGGCAAGCAGGGTGGCTCAAGCTAAGGTCCTTTTCTGGCGTACATGAGTACAGCTGCAAGCTTCTCCCCACCTCCACACCAACCAGCTTGACTTGCGACCCTTCAGTCCCTACTGCAGCTGTGTCTTTGCATGGACAGCACCACTTAGCGGGACAGTGCTTGGGAAAGGACTCCTGTGACATATACAATACTGAGGCCCTGGTAGCTGACAAGCCATACCGTGTATCCCTGTGAGTTTCCTTAACCTCCTTTGTAGAACAGCCTGGAGCCCAACTATGGAACTCTGGACCCTGAGACAGGTGTTCGGGACCCAGAGCCCACTCTTACCTCCACCGCTGACCTGCCCCCTCCTGGCCTGTTGCCTAATATTCTTCCTGGGTCTGAAACTGGCTCTGTGGACTCTGGTCTGGGCTCCAGGGAGTCCGGGTTCTGCACATGGGCCCTGAGCACAGCCTGCACTTACAGCAGAGACAGAGCCCTGAGCTGGGTTCCGCTGCTCTGCCAGGACCCCTCTACTCTTAGCACTGCACATTGGGGTCCTAGAGAAGACTCCCCTAGGGAGGGGTCCCAGGGCTTCACAACTTTTGAAAATCCTCCATCCCAGTGGCTTCTCAGCCACTCCCTGCCCTGACGGCCTGGTCTACCTGCAGTACAGGGTCAGCTGTGTTGATTTGGAACAAAGTCACATCATCTCTCTGAGCCTCAATTCCCTGATCAAGAGGTGGACAGTGACTTGCTGACCATACAGGGTCATGATCACAAGATAGTGATGACCTGACTACTTACCTGCTGGGGGCCAGGCACCAGGCAGGAGACAGCTGCTCTCCTGGGTCTTTCTCATTCTCCCGCCCTCCCCAGCACCCATGCCCCTCCTCTGTCCCAGGCCCTTACCTCCCATGAGTCAGTGTCCTTCTTGTACTGGACCTCAAAAGTGTACACTATGTGCGTGTAGTATTCCTTCTCTAATTTCCAGCGCAGGATGTAGTTGTCCCCGTCCTTGGTCACATTGAGGCTTGGGTGGCCCATCTGGACTGGAGGGAGAGAGGCCTTTAGGGAATGATCCAGCACCTACCCTCCAATGAAATATTCCCAGCATTCACCGCTCATCCCAGGTGCTGTCTCCATTGACCCAGGACCCTGGGGCCCCATGTCCCTCCCATCTTGGGGTCTTTGTGCCTCCCTCACCATCTCAATCTCTGTTTTGACCTGAGCAGCCTTTCTGAGGGAGTTGCTGAGATGCACTTGTTCTGTAGTGAGATGGCCCAAGGCATGGGCCATTCTCAGTATTTAAAGCAAAAAGAAAACCACTACTAGCTGGTTTCATGTCTCATGTGTTGACTATGTGCCGGGTACATACATGCTTACTCTGTATGGATTAATGCATTCGATTCTATTTTGTAGGTATTACTAACTGTTCATATTTTACAGGTGGGAAAACTAGCCACAGCGTGATTGAGTAACTTGCCCTAGGACAGGCAGTTAACAAAGGGTAGAGGTAAAGGTTGGGACTCCTGCAGTGTGACTCCAAAGTCCTTGGCTGAATCACTCCAAAGCTCTAGGACTGAGCTCTAGTCTGGGACACGCTTCCCCAACACGCCCAAAGGCTTAGACACACGTCTGAGGGCTGGGGCTAGCTCCTAGGATCTTGCCATGAGAAAATCCCCAATGCACAGCTCTAACAGACCTTCAGAACACACAGATGGCCCTTCACCCCACCAACAAACTGTAAGGAGGAGGCCTTGTAAACAGCACCCCCAGCTTGGGTGGCAGACCCGCAAGTTGGAAGAGACAAAGGAAAAAGAGAAAGGAGAGACTGGGCATAGAGTCAAAAGTTCTAGACTCCAGTCTTGGCTCACCCTTTCCTGGCTGTGTGACTGTAAGTGAGACATTCAACCAATCTGAACTTCTGTTTACTCATCAGGGAAAAGAAAATCGGGCCATGACCTCTACTTCATGACTTCACAGAACCAAAAGCAAACCAAACCTGTTGCTGTTGAGTTGGTTCCAACTCACGGTGACCCCATGTGTTTCAGAGTAGAACTGGGCTCAGTGGCTATAGTCTTTCAGAAGGAGTTTGCCAGGCCTTTCTTCAGGTGCCTCTGGGTGCACTCGAACCATAACCTTTCTGTTAGTAGCTGAGCACCTCACTGTTTGTGCCACCCAAGGACTCCTGACAACTTCACAGGCTTCTGTAGAAATAATGCCAATGCCTGCAAGTCGCTAAGCTCCACTGCCTGTCAGGCATCTTAGTAGGCCCTTTATCTATTTTGTGCACTAGTTGCAGAGAGTAAGTGGTGGACTCAAACCCAGTGACTAAGACCAATTTGCTGCTGTTCGCAACAGAACATGCGCTAGCAATTGGATGAAAGATACTTTGATCCTCGTAAAACGATTGTTGGCGATTCCTTTGCAACAGAGTTCTTGCTTCATGAGAGGAAGTAGGGATGTTAACTTGCCAGCATCTATAATCTATTTGCAGACACTACCCAGCCCCAACTGAAGAAAGAAATCAGAGACCCGTTATTTTGGAGATTGAGAAAACAACAACAACAACAACAACGAAACTCACTGCTATCGAGTGGATTCCGACTCAGAGCCACCCCGTTTGGGTTTCCAAGCTTGCAGAAGTAGATTGCCCAGTCTTCCTTCCACAGAGCAGCTGGTGGGTTTGAACCACCAACCTTCTGGTTAGCAGTCAAATGCCTTGGGCACTCTGCCACCAGAGCTTCTTTTGAAGATTGAGAGGACTTTGGAAATCGGCAAAAGGAAAATCCAATGAAAAGGAAAGTTTGGTGGGAGGGCGTGGTCAGAAGTAGAATTGAGTGCAGCTGGCAAGTTGGGGAGGAAAGCAGAGCGTAAGGAGTGGGAAGTCTTTAAAGACTCTCCCCTTGGTTACCAATGACTTCTTCCTTCATATCTGCCTGTCATTGTTATTGTATTTATGGCTTCTTAAGAATTTCAAGTGGAGGTTAGAATTACTTCGGTTCACATTTGGCTGCTGCAATGGTTTCTTTGGAAGTAACTGATGTGAAGACTGGGCCACGAGGAGCCCCGCGTCCACTCTGGTGACACGATGAGGCAGCGCTGTCCCAGAACCACCCACACAGAAGCTTTGGGCAAACTCACTGTGCTCTGAGCTCCTTATGAATTTCCCCTCCTCCTTTGGCCGCACAGAGACTGTGTACTGGCCGTGGGTCCCGGGGTCGGGCACGGGGATCTGGCACCGGTGGCGGGCGTAGGGGCTGCTAAGCTTCTCCTTCAGCACCGGAGAGCACTCCTTCTCCCTGAGGAGCACGGCTGAGGTGAGGGTGGCGGAGGGAGGACCCAGTGGGATGGGGGAGACTCCAGCAGGAGCTGGGCCTCTACTGGGGCCTCCAGGGAGAGGAGGAGGATGGTAAGGGCAGGCCCGAAGG